GAGGCTCCTTCGGGTGTCATCCGAGATAAGAGGCTGGGCCAATTGGGGGATAACAACAGGTTGCGGTACCGGCGGAGCCGCGGGGGGAGTAACCGGTTCTTCCGGCAATTGAACCGGACTAGGCGGGGGCGAGAAGGCGTTTCCCCCATCGCAATAGGCGATTTCAGGATCTTGAACGCCTAAGTAAATACTCCCTGCGCCCCGCCCTAAAAGGAAAAAGACCAATAAAAAAAAAGACCTTTACCTGAGGATGAGGACCTAGGCCGAATGGTGTCCATTATCTACGCGCAAGCCATAGTTGAACGAGATGTGGAGGCAGCATTGGTGGATGATGGATTTCGTCCCAATTCGATTTTAGCTAGATATACCGAAATTAGGGGAGTTATCCATTCTCCGCAAGGGGAGCTTTTGACTGAACGCACCTATAACTCATACGTCACTCAGATAAGGGAACGTGGCACCCGACAAAGCGTTCCCTATCGGCGGATTATAAGAGCCATCCAGAACGATGATCTCTTTTTAGAACGATGATCCCTATTTCTAAAAGAGATCATCGTTTTTGAGTTGGCTTGATGTGGCGTTTATACGATGAGGTTGCTAAGAAGGGGATTGACTTCCTGCTCTTCTTTTGTGCATCTTTCTTTCTCCCACTCATCGCCTTCAATGAGTTCATCTGCCGAGCTCGTGGTGAAGTTACCAATCGGATTGTGGTACCAGTAGCAAACAGCATTACCATCATCATTACAAGGAGGTTTGATACCTGCAATCTGCAACACAATATTAGTTGGAAGAAGGTGCTCAAACAGACGCCAGTTCCACTCACCATTATTGTCAACATAATTCTTAATTGGCCTAGCGGATGCGCGACTAAGCGGATGCGCGTGTCTAACGCCTTTACTAAACTAAGTGGGGGCTTTCGCGCTAGCACCTTATCCTGCCCCTATCTATCTCTAAGTCCGGTGCTTGTTCCAGCTACGAATAAAGTCGTTAGCGAAAGCCCCCACTTAGTTGGATTGCCTAGTTTTCTTGCCCCGTTTTCTTGCTCGTTGCTTGTTTAGACAGTAGGATATTATGGTCAACCCCGTAGTAAGTGCATCATCCTCCCATACGTTTTGGTGTTAACAACACTGCAATATCTTTTCAAATCTCTTTATATTATTCACATAAAATATATATGTGGATGAGAGAACTATTGTTTATACTACATACAACTGCCATGATACTATCACTATTTGGAAAGTTAAACTCAATGTTACAGAACAAAGGTAGTGATAATACACCCCCCCCTTCGTTTCGTACTAATCGGAGCATTAATGTTTTAACACATAGTAGTTCTAGTAATAATGTATGCTATTACCCATCACTAATGATAGGATGTCATCAAATGCAATGTGTAAGCCCTACTCTTGCATCGTTCGTTCAACCCACTAGACCTACAACCCACCCTCCAGTTGTTGTTTTGAAGGAGAAACCTTTTTCTGATACTGAAACACTGGTACATTCCATACTTAATAGGGGTCGATGTTATAGACGGGGTGGCATAATTAAAAGAAGTAATGATGAAGGTTTGGCTGGCATACTTGGGTCTCCAACTAATACTAATATATCAGCCTCCGATCCTGTTGTATATCGCTTTAATCCCCTTCGATTGTCTCAACCTAATGCGTATGCTCGGCGGTATTTGCTATCACAAATGAGCCGTGGTGAGCTGTTCCATTTGCATCTTATAGGGATTATATACCGACAATACCTTCCTGCATTACTAATTGGTTTCCATACGTGGCATATCTTAGTAGCCCCTGACTTATGTATGACTAGTACTGATATCTTTGATCTTATTAATCCGTTTTCTTCTACTTCAGCCGGGGATCTACATATAGATATTGGAACCTCCAGCTCGGGTGCTGTTGATGGAGAAAAGGCTGTTGATGTGATATCTCAATCAGATGATGATTCACTCACTAATGATAAAGATAAGACTAATAATCAACTTGCTATTTATATTTCAGGTGTTCTACTAGCTGCAACTAGAATGACATTCAAAATAGTTGTTAGTAAGAGTAATGGTTTATAAGACTGTTTTCTTCTATCGTATATATAACCACTCCTTTGATTTTTATACCATAATGGACTGGTGGGTTTTTCACCTGCTCTGGACTAATAAGAGTCAGTTTTGCATTAACGACGCCCGTACCCCAGTGTCTGTTTTCTGCAGGTCAGCGCTTTCTAAATGCTAACGACTTTCTCTTTGTAGTTTAATCACATGTGGTGCATCTCCTGGCCATCTCGGGATGGGCTATGTTTTCTGCCGGTTGAGGGACTCTGCCGATAGATGCAGTGCTTTCTCTTCCGTTCAGATACAGTCCGGTAATTCGATTTTTATGGTCACCACCGATAGATGTGGCTGAGCGTAGTACATAATCTTACCCTTGATTCCCGTTATGGCAGGCAGTGCATGAAACAGCCGATAGATGCAGCTGCTGTGTGGTTAGACTACTGGGCTTCTCTACGCAATGGGTTGCGTACGAGCCTCATTGTATCCAGAGAAGAGCCATGTTTTGTGTATGCGGGTAATAGATTCCTTTTT